TTTAAGTGTGCTTTTGTTTCATTCATCTTTCCTGGGAGTTTTCCGAAAATTCTATCTTTATAAACAGAAAACCCAATTAATTGATAGAATCAATTTATCGATTTAATAGATGGTTTCGCCAACAAAACAGTACCGCCCAGATAGAAGTCGTCTTTGAAAAGCAACCCGTTTAATCTCGCTCACCCTTCCTCCTGTCCAATCTTTACCCAGTTCACATTTCCAGCACCCCCAATCCTTTTTCCTCTCATCAGACCCACCCTCACTAATTGTGCGTCTCTCTCTCTCTCTCTCTCTCTCTCTTCCCACCTCTTCTTCCCCTCCCTCCATCAATCGACACCCTGCGTGTTCTGCGACGGCAGGACTCTGTTTGGAAACAAGATCAAATCGGTGGCCAAGAAAGCCTTCGCCGGCCTGGAGACCTTGGAACACCTGTGAGTACCCCACAGCAGAACGACTGGGCATAAAGACCTGCAGAGGGAGGGCAGGGGAGCAGAGACTGCCTAAAAGTAGCTGGCAGAGGCGAGGTTGCTAGCAATTTAATAGGGCCTTTGTAAAAGGAGAAGACAGAGCGGCCAGCTGCCTCTGTCTCGTTAGTCTAGCTCAATCTCTGCCTGGATGTTTTCTTTTTCCCCTCCTTGCCTCGGCTCAAGCTATTGAGCATATGCTGAGCTCTGCTGTAAAAACAGAATCCCTGTCAGACTTTTTCTTTTTTTTTTTTCTAAAGGATTTTGTTAAACGGATGGCAGAGCTAACCTACATATGAAAAAACCTCAATATTTCCATCTTAGCATAAAACCGTCACACAGCTGATTTTGCCAATTTCTTCTGCATCGACAGGAACTTGGGTGACAACGCCATCCGTTCTATCCAGCCTGATGCGTTCAGCAGGATGAGGAACCTCAAAAGCCTGTGAGTGGCAGCATTTTTTTTTACACAATTTCATATTATATACAATTCACCCAAATTGAGCTTTTTTTTTCCTTTTTTTTTTTTTTGCACGTTACAACAAAATTCATGATGTTTTATCAAGATTTGATGATACACCAATGCAGTGTTTCTCCCATAAAACTAGCTAAGCCTGGTGGGCTCATCCTGCAACTTTCCGTGTTTTTGAGTTAAAACTTGTAAAAAGTTGAGAATAAATTTGAAAATATCACTAGGTAATTACGTGCTATTGGAAGACATGACCAACAATACCTAAGCAACAACAGCAAGTCTTAAAAACCCCTAAAATAAATAGAACAAGCAAAGCTTAGCAAGTAAAGCCTGGCAGCCCGCCAGGCTTATAATACACTGTAGGAGACCCTGCCAATGGAAAGTCATGCACAGTTATGAAATGGAAGGAAAATGACACGGTTTTCAAACGTAGATAATCTTGAAGGTGATTCAGTGTGTTCTGCTCTCCTCTAGTCTCATCCAGAGCAACAGTTTCCTCTGTGACTGCCAGCTCCAGTGGTTGCCCTTCTGGCTGCACATCCATGGCCTGCAGGTGGGTGTAAACGCCACCTGTGCCCACCCAGTGAGCCTGCAGGGAACCAGCATATTCGAAGCGCCACAGAACAGCTTTGTGTGTGGTAAGTCAGGTTTTGCAAGCGCGCTGCTTTTTTGGTCATTCCCACATGCTGCCATATGTTTCCTGACCTGCTTTTTGCACGACCGCCTCCATCCAGACGACCTTCCCAAGCCTCAGATCACAGTCCAGCCGGAGAACACGGTGACGGTGCTCGGCAGCGACGTGCGTCTCACCTGCACGGCAGCGAGCAGCAGCTCCTCCCCCATAACGTTTGCCTGGCGCAAAGACCAGGAGCTGCTCCGCCACGGCGAGATGGAGAACTTCGCGCATGTGCGCACTCAGGGCGACACGGCCGACACGCCGGCCATCGCAGGAGGCGTGATGGAGTACACCACCATCCTGCACCTGCGGCGTGCCACCTTTGCCGACGAGGGCCGCTACCAGTGCATCATCACCAACCACTTTGGCTCCACCTACTCCAGCAAGGCTCAAGTTGTCGTCAACGGTACGTCGTCGCTGCAGGCTTGATCATGATTTCTAGAACACAGAAAAACTGTAGAATACTTTTAGTTTGTGTTTGGCAAGCTTTCGCTCAAATTAATTGTCTCTTCCTTGGCTACCATCTACTCTAGCATGAACTTGCTAATCAGTAAATTTGGCTGTATTTCAATAGAAGGTTTCTGACCATCTTTCTGAAAATGGAGATTTACAGAATTGCTGCACTAGTATTTATTTTTACTAGTTGTCTTTGTGTACAAACCAGAAACGCGCTGAACACGTAGCTCGTTTATTTTTCTGTCTGGTTAAAGACAACCAAAACAATTTTGTGAGTCTGAAACACTATCGGGAGAAATGGCTCATGATCTTCTGCAACCGCTATAATCTGTCGCTACTCCATCTTTGTTTACGTTTTGTAAAGAAAGAAGTTGCACCCACGTCTTTTTCAGAGGCGTTGCTGTCCTTTTCTCAAGTAGTTGTTGGTGCAGCGCCACCCCAGGCAGGGAGGTGAATAGGTCTTTCGTTGCAGTGAGAAAGCGAACCGCACTAACTGAAAATGCTCCAAGTGTTGCATTTTTTAATCAGGTGTGAAGAAACCCTAAAAGTACGTCGGTATCAGTGAGGAGTTTAAGATAAAGTCAGCAGAAGCAAAACAAAGGAGTATTACTAGATTACATTTCCAAATACCTCCGCAGTTCACTTAGGCTGGAAAAAGCAAGTGAGAGCAAGACTTTTAGCAGATAAGAGTTAACAATAAAAGTTATTCTTTCCAACTTTTAACGTGTTTTAAATGCAGAATTAACTTAATAAAATGAGCCACAGTCTCTACAAGGTAGAAGGTTGCTACGCTAGCTGGGCTAATTGTGCTCTTTTAGTATTTGTGGTTTAGTATTAAAGACACTTTAAAATGTTATCTCCGTCATCACTTGGTTGTAAAATAATCCTCTTTTACAATGACTGGTCTCATGTCGCCTCTGCTTCTTACATGAATAATTAATGACAGCTCCCCGGAGGAAGGCTAGACAGAAATATTTTGAATGCTGTTCTTATTACACTAATATACCATAAATCAGTTTTCAGCGCATTTCTAATACAAATATCTTGGAGAAAAACAGTTTCCTGTAGAATTTCGCTGAAAGATTTTGGGTACAAAGTCCAAGAACATCTGGAAAAAGAAGCGAATCGCTCGATAATCTTTAACATCTGCCATTAAATTCTGAAGTAAAAGTTCTTGCTCAGAGTAGACCTCGGAACAAAAATCTACAAAACGACATTGATTACGCCTTGTCTCCACAGTCCTGCCGTCTTTCCTGAAGACTCCCCGGGACAGCACCATCCGCACGGGCCACACCGCCAGGCTGGAGTGCGCCGCCGAGGGCCACCCGGCGCCCCAGATCGCCTGGCAGAAAGACGGCGGCACGGACTTCCCCGCCGCCCGGGAGCGCCGGATGCACGTCATGCCCGACGACGACGTGTTCTTCATCACGGACGTGAAACCCGAGGACATGGGCGTGTACAGCTGCACGGCCAAGAACACGGCGGGCACCGTGTCGGCCAACGCCACCCTCATCGTCCTGGGTAAGAGGTTCCCACGGCGACGTGTGGAAATAACCAGGGTGCTCGATTGGGAATTGGTCAGAATGAGGAGCAGCTTTTTTATTTTTCTTTTCTCGGCAGCTGCGGCCGAGCTGTGGGTCAGGGGACAGAGGTCGCGGATAGGGGTCAGAGTGTGGACGGTGGAGGGGTGGAAGGAGGGGGTTCTCACAGAGGGGCGTTTGTTAGGCATTCCCACCCCCTTCTCTCCTCTCAGTGGGAGGGACTACCTCACTGCAGGCCTCACTGCTCCCAGTTTATTGGTTGTTTTACTCAGCAAACAAAACAGACTTCACTCCTGTGAGCAGCGCAGCACACACACAACATCTTTGTGTTTAGTTGAGCAATGCATCTGCCCCCTGAAGCAAAAAAGAAAAAACAAACATTATTATTCTCAAACTTTTAGATGTAGGGTTAGCACCTTCTCTGCTAATCTACCCGGCAACGCAAAACACTGAATCAACAGAGCCTGTGTGCCGAATCTGTGATGTTTGGGTTGGTGCAGGGGGATGGTGGCTGCAGTCGAGGGGCCCCTGTCTGGAAAAGAGAGATGGGGGGAGGAGAAGAGGGTGAGGCAAAGGAGAACTGGAACAGGGGAAGTATGGGCAGGGGAGGACTAGAGGGGGGGAAAAAAAAGAAAAGAGAGGAGGGGGGATTGATGGAGATGGAGAAAGTATAGATAGAAGAAAAATGGGGGAGGCTGAAGTGGGTTAAGTGAGATCTCTTAATCTGTGTGTCCCACCGTGAGGGGAAGTGTCGAGTCTGAGAGGCTGACCCTCTCACACACAAACACACGCGCACACACACACTGTCTCTCTCTCTTTCTCTCTCTCTCTCTCTTGCACCGAATTCAATGCAGTTCATTCTCCAGAATGCAAAAGTCACTCAAAGACACACTGGCTGCATTGTTCTGCAGAGGATTCTCCCGCAGAGGAAATCTTGTTAGTGTGTTGTGATAAAACGTTAACTGATGCCACAGTCGATGAGACGGAGGAGGACCGTTGTTGAATGAGACGGGGCTTTTCTCTGGGATCCTGCCACTATTCTACTGTAACAATGTGGAGCAGAAAACTTAGAATGTTAACCTGACTTTTAACGGTGCACAGTCCTGGCCAGTGTTTTACTGGAAATGGTGGCGTTTGTTTAAATCAGCTGAGCTCTTGGCGTTGACCAGGTATTTAAGCAGACGTGGGGTCATTCTGGATCAGGAGTCTGAAAGCTTTACAACCCAAAGAGCCATTTTACCCCCAGCGAAGCTACGGAAAACCTTTTTAGAGCTGCAAAACGCTACATGACCTTTTGAGAAAACTCAACTTTAGAGCTGTAAAGTAAACAAAATCTCGCAAAAAAAAAAAAAAAAAAAAAAAAAAAAAAAAAAAATTAAAAAAAAAAAAAA